TGATTGTCGGCTAAATGAATGCGATCGGATTAAACATACCACTTTTGATAATATCACGTTCATGAGGTAAAAAATTTAATAATAATGCTAATTTTGACCATAGACCAGGAGATATCTAATATAAAAATTTGAAATATAAGAATAAAATAATTCATAAAAGTACCGGTAATAGCATTTGAAGTAAACGTTTGTTTCCAGCAAGCCAATCACAAAAAGTTTTTATGGCAGATAGTAAATATTCGTTTTCTAATAATTCAAGGATTAATTTTGTACCATGATAACGAGTAGTTCTATAGAATAAAATTATGCATTAAAATAATTTAAGATTTTTCTTACTGATCATTATCAATATTTTGTTGTTCACTTGTTGTATTATCCATAATAGGTTCAAGTTCAAATTCCGCCATTTTTTGTTCAATTTCTGCTGCTGCTAAAGCATCACTATTATGTTCAAATCCTAGAAAGATTAAATTTTCGTTGTTGTTTTTTTTGTAAAATTTAGTTATTTACCTGGTGGTACATTGATTTGTTTATTTCCAATAAAAATAGATTTAAATGGTTGATCATAATTGTATGTTGATGTTGAATATGGATCATCATCTGATGAATTTTGATCAAGAAATAATGGTGATGGACAATCATGTGAAGCAAATGCAGCAAATAAATGTGTTGATAAATCAGTAAATGAAAAAAGTGTTGTTTGTGAATCATTATTATCATGAAAAACAGCACCACTTTGTTTAATTTTTTCCATAAATTCATCAAGTGCAACTTTAATTGCTAATTCTATATGAGACAAAACGGTATTTAAAACAGCAAAAAACAAAAGTAATAAATAACCTTCAGCTTCTTTATCTTTTTCATCTCGAATAACTTGTTTCTTCTGTTCTTCATTATCATCATCAGTTGATGAACCTCCAGAAAGATAATCTGGTATTTCATCTTCGGATCTATAATCATCTGATGAATCATCTCGTCGTTGATATCGTTCATTTGATTCTGAACGTTCACTTTGATCACTTTTATCAGATGATGATGCACTTTGTCGACGACGTCGTGATAATACCATTTTCATTCGACGTCGTTTTTCTTTTGCTTCTGCCTTTTATAATTAAAAAACAATTCTTTTATCCTTCATTCCTATATGAAATTTAAATACCTGTCGACGTTCTTCTTCTTCTTCCGAATCACTTTCATTCGTTTTAGTTCGAGCATCATGTAATTGATAAAAAGCATTTTGTAAACGAATAATTGTATGATTAACAACATGTGAAAATAGAGCAACAGCAAAAGCAATACCAGCAAAAAGTATTGTTTCTATAGAATAAAATCAATTGTAAAAACAAAACGATAAGAAATATATATTTACGTTTAACTGTTCGACTACGTGTACGTTGAATCCGATCAACAAGCATCATTGATATTGATAATAATTTAAAAACAAGATCATCAGAAAGTAATGAATCATTTTGATAAAACATACAAGCATTAAAATCATTTAATGTCTGTTGACCTAATTCTTGAATTTGACCACTAAATAAAATAGGTTTTACTTTATCGTAAAAATATTTTTGTTAGACTTACATATTGTTCGATTCAAGTAATTGATGAGTAACATGTAAAAATTCAACAAGAAAACGACGAATTTCACGATTACTAGAAATGAAAAATTATCTTATAGATTTTTGGAAATATTCTTAAACAAACCTTGTTTTATCATTTCGATTTTTCGCCTGTTGTTTATTAAATTCTAAAAATCGTCTTTCATTTCGTTCGAAAAGCATCTGTAAATTATCTTTTGCACCATCAAATGGATGTGTTGTACTCAAACAAAGTAAATAGAAAAAAGCTGCATCACAATTAACATTCGATCGACCACATAATGTTCCCAATTGATTTAATGGCATACCTTAAACATAACAATCAAATAATTATTTAAATTTATAACAAAAAAAACAAACCAATTTCTGGATCAAGTAATACCGCCATTGTATAATATTTCTCTGCTGTTTGTATACATCCATCATATTCACTTAAATATCTACTAAGATCTCCCAAACAAACTAAACATTTATGAATAAGTTTTAATAATGATTCAATTAAATTCTCAATTTTCGTCGTCGTTGTTGTTATATTAACAGCTAAACTAATACAAAAAATCATGTTAAATCACATTCGAAATTTTTTTCTTTCATACATACATTTATTATCATTAAATAATTGTATAAAATCGAAAAAATGATTCATATTTTGATATGGTTTTATTAATGAAACGAATTTAATTAATAAATTGGAATAAAAACCAAATATAGATAATAAATGCATACGATACATTATTTGGATTTCGGTTATTGTTGTTTCATCATATTCTTGTCGATATCGTTTAAATATTTGTATGGG